ACTAGTACCTTCGTTAACCCTTTCGCTACAGTTAAAGGGTTAAAAATTCACACTTTCCGATCGAAACCTAATACTGTCCTCTTTCCAAGACTATTCCTAAAATCTAATATCCTTTACGTCGCTAAAAACAAATTTCAAAAGAAATATTCGAGAACCAAATAAACTGGTAACTTCGTTAACCCTTTCGCTGCAGTTAAAGGGTTAAAATTTCATACTATTCGAGCAAATCTACCGATCAAAATGCAATACTGTCCTTTTTCTAAGATTATTCCTAAAATCAAATATCCTTTACAAGGCCATAAAAATAAAAGATAAATATTTTCGCTGTAGCGAAAGGGTTAAAATTTCGCACCGTCCATGCAAATGCACTCATCAAAATGTCTCCTCGTACCATCTAGACGCCATTTTCCCTCAACCACCAAACCCACAACTTTCATTTCCCCAACAAACACACCGAGCAACGTCTCACTGTCTCAATTTCTAATTAGAAGCGAACTCCTAAGCCTCACGTGACCTCTCGAAGAACCCTGAAATCCGTAACGAAGAAACCTTCGAAACAATCCGCTCGGTCTTCCCCGTCACGAACGTTTTTCGCAGAGAGCACCAGCGGCGGCACGTCCTCCTTTTCACCAAAACTTCATTCTACTTTCGTGTAGAACCGCGTTCGATCGCACTTTCGAAGTTCAAGGGTCTCTCTCTCTCACCTGGCGGCATCGGTGCACCTTAAAGAACCTTCTCTTCCCGGTCAGGAGTCTCGAACGTGACGAAATGCGGAATCGATGGCCGCGGGACACCGTTCGCATGGAAATTTCAGGAACCTCGTCGATTATATGCATCCTGGGATATCGACACGTAAAGGAGTGAAACGAAGAACACGAACGGGTGAACACTCGTCGTCTCACGGTAGCTCCATGATTTACTGGACACGTCGAAAGAGGTCGAACGCGGACACGATCGCGGGGTAATTCGATTGGCTTAACTGGATTAACCACGACACACGAGCCAAGCTTTCACGTACAGGTTGCACGTGAAACGTAAGACACGATCGCGCTGGTACAATAGTCGATACGAATTTGTATACACGTACTGGGTGACTTAGATTAGACTATTTCGAGAAACTTTTTGTATATTATAGGAATTTTTTCGATGCACTTGTGAATTTGTAAAAATCAGTAAATATGGTTGTTTGTTGCTCAAGAGGAGGTATTTAGGTAAGGCAATTACTTTTGGGGAAGATGTGTACACTATCACTCGTAAGTTGAACCCTTTGAAATCGGTGTCGCCGCTATGGCGGCATGATCTTTGTTTTGTGTTTTGGAACTGACGTGGTGTAAAGTAATTACTCGCGCAAGTTGTTCAATAAAAATATATTTATTTGAATCCGATAACGCTTAACCTAATTTTGAGGTGTAGGCGACGCGAGTCTACGACAAAAGGCCTCCCTTAAGTAGCCCCTTTTCCCTGGGAAAGTCCCAGCAAGTGGAGGCGCGGGCCTGCATTGCCTAGGCGATACTCTTGTCCTCAAGGGCCAAGAGTCGCCAGGCCTAAGTGCGTGGCCCCCCCGTGGCGGTCGCCACAGTGTGTATTGCATATATTAATTACTCTTTACAATCCCTCTTCTAAGCATTTGTTACGTTTTAGAGAATTCCTTGCCTAGGGGCTTCATATCGGTGATTGTTTTGTCAAGTATCATACTTTGGAAAATTACAAAAATTAACCCTTTGCACTCCGTTGTCGCCGCCGTGGCGACATTGTAAGGTATATTTTTAAGAAAAATTGCACGCCTACGAAGTATCTTCCACAGAGGCGCACTCGTGCCATTGTAAATAGTCTCGGAGTAGCTGGTAGCCCACAGTAAAAATGATTCAGAGTTTCTGGTAGGTCATCTTAAAAATTGCGAGGAGTGCAAAGGGTTAAAACGTTTCATTTTTATGCACTATAACTAATATTAAGCAAAATATATCAGTTTCAAAATATTCCATGTTTTTCAATATCCTTATATATTTGAAAATCTAAATTTGCTCCGACTAGCTAGTAGTCCCACCAGAGAAATGTGCCGATCGCAAGGGGTTAATTACGCAATGCAAAAGTACGATGTAATTCAATTTATTTCATTCAAGCCAATGAAATTTCGTTCGTCGAATTCAACAGAGAAGTTACCTTCAGTTTTACTGTATTTGAACGGGTGCAATTAAACTTTCGAGGGATGGTCTGCGTTATCCTTTGCAGACGACACTAAAATTTTTTGTAATATTTTGCACGTGACTGTACGATTAAAAATTACGAACAGTCTTCCTAAATTTTTAGGAATCAAGAGAAGAGTGTTATTTTTTTTAATCGTAAGAGATATAGAAACGAGATTTTCTCTATACGTTCCCCGCAGGCAGATAAAAGGGTTAATACATAGGTTTCACTGTAAGAGGAAAAGTATTCTGTATGGTCGTGTTCTAATATCGTAAGGGAATCGGCGAGTGTGAAAAATACGTGCCAGAACATAATTCAAAGATAGTCCAGGAGAAATGATGTATCGAGAACAGAATCTTCGCGACAATAGAGGCAAACGGTTGACTCAGCGGTCTGTGCACAATTCGGAAATCAGACCAAACTGTCTGCGTTTCCATCGAGGAACGTATACTTGAACTCACTTTAGGCACACCCTTGGGGAAAACTAGTGTGAATCACTTCGCTATTCAGCACAGAATTTTCGAAAACTCTTCTGAAATCCATTGAATTTCCCGCGCTTTCTTGCAACAGCTCGCAAAATTTTCATATTGGCATACGCACGCAGATTGAAATTTGAATATACAAAGATGTGTTTGCTATTGAAATTTTTGGACAACCAACCGCCTACTGACATTGAGTCACCAAGTCAATCTCAAGATGAACCCCGTAACGCCGAAAAACAAGTTACTCATCCGACCGCTGACTGTCCCTTCATAGTCCTGTCCAACGATTCGTCACCAGAATCAAGTTCACCTTCTCCCCCTTAATCCCTTCCTTATAAGCACACCCGAAAAATCCCTTCCTCGTCATTATAGGAACCAAGCGAGGATAGTTAAGAGCGGTCGATCTAGTACACAGCAGAAAACCACAACGTCTCTTCCCTTCGCGAAGTTCGCGCCTTGTAAATTCGGAATCCGCGAGTATGTGTCATCGTTGAAATAAAAGTTATCTGATAAAAGTTAATTTTGAAAGATACAAAATAATTTTGGAAATAACGTTTCTGTCTTCTCGAAAAATGCAATTTTTTCCTTGGAAATATTCTCTTATCTTCAGAAATAATTCGGTGAAGTAATCTGATAAGAAAATATCTTTGGTAAATAGCAACAAGGACATTGTCTGCTAGATATGTGTACGGAAAAAACTCTCTCTACTTCTTCAATTGATCAATTGGTTAAATGAAATCTATGATCGATCGTAAATGATAGTGACACGAGTATAAATGTCTTTATTGGACGACGAGTATAAATAGCACACTGCTATCAACATTTACTCAGAGATTTGATGCAAGTAACAGTAGCATCCTTTCAGAAAGAAAAAAGGAGATAATTCACACTTAATATTGTTATTCAAAATAAATACCATTCTTAGTTATTTCTCGTTGTAAAGGATGTTACTTTCGAAATTTAAAAAAAAAAAAAAACACTTGTTTAGAGATTTCATGTAACAGAAATATCCTTTCAAGGAAAACAAAACAGACAATTCACGCGTTATTATCGACAAAAATAAATGCCATTTCTTAGTATTTTTTATTACTAAACTTTAAAATGAAAGCACATTTGAAATTTGATTAAAAAATCAGACAGACTTCTCCAGCGAAGATTCTAAACTACTCTTTGCACCTGTGCCATATATCACCAACGTAAAATTCTTCGATTTTCATTCATGAACCTCCATTTTTCCGACTACGTATCCCCAGTACATCTCGCACAGTCCTAGTTCACCGACCCGCTTGCTATACGCAAGCTCTCTCCTCAGCTAATATCTATGTTTTTTCCCAGAAAGTTTCTCGAGGTTTCCGTGCTCGTTATTGAAGTTCGGCAGGAGAATCCTTTTCATGGAACTTTATTAGCGGTTCTCGAGCGAACGCCCGTCAAGTTTGTATGCCTTTCACGGTACGGCCGCCGCCGCCGGTTTTCTCCGTCGCGAAATAACGATGTGTGCCACAAAAGAGTTTTCAGGACATCTTAAAAGGCTGAGAAGGGAGCCGGTGCTTTTATCGTTCACATTCCTCCGGCGCGTATCTTTCGGTCGGTGAAATGGAACACACTCGGAGAAATTACAATTTAATCGCGATGGACAATAGTAACTCGGCTACTGAGATTATGAATTTCAAGTGGATTTCTTTTTTTTTTTAACATCGACAACGAAACTGGAAGGAAGTTTCTGATGGAGAGTGGTACGATTTGTGATAGGGAAATAGTAGAATAAAATAGACAAGGAATATTGGAATACAAATTTTCAAGGATGGGAGAAGCAAATGTTTTGTCGAATTAAAAGGACTCGTGGAAATGGAAAATTCTTGAAATCTATTCTAAAGGGACAAAATTAACATAAGAGCAAATTTATGGTAAGAAAATGTTAGAATAAAATAGACGAATAATCGAATTTTCAAAAATAAGAAAGAAAATGTTTCGTGAAATTAAAAATTCTTAAAAATCTATTTTAAAGGGACGAGAGCATGTTCTTACGTCATAGTACAACTGCTATTTAACTGAAATTACAATGTAAAGAATTTTGTAAAACAGAAGAACGCGAACGTGACGTAAAATAATTAGAATAATTGCAAGTATCGTTCGTCGATTTATTAAGTTTATTAACAATGTGCGCGTGCCTGTAGATCTATAAAAAGGTACTAAATCTTCCTGAAAATTTGAATATTTAAATAAAGATTAGGTGTTGATGATAAGTTGAAATAGCGATAACGAGAAGTTCATTCTTGTCTCGTGATTACAATGTGAAACGTGACGCGTACGTCGCAGAAGTTCGGGATTACGTACCTCATGATCGACATAATACGGCTCACGAAGGTTTTCTGGCACTCGATTGTTGTACGCCTTCGAGAGGAGCCATTTTACGGAGGCACGTTGTTTGGCCTGCAACAATAGAACAGGAAAGATCAGTAATCATTATTTTCAGCATTGAAAAATGGTACCATTGATTAATTCTTAAAGATATTCTCACAAAAGTATGGTAATGTTGATTTAACATTTTAAATTCACAAAACGAAGAGTATAGAAACTTGTGAAAAGATTGGATCTAGATGATCCTTTTTATATTTCCAAAGAATCACATTTCCATGTGTGATAATACGTGCGAGCAATAATAAAGATCGTGTAATTCTCATAAACAGTAATTGTTCGATCTATGCACTTTGCGCTTTCTATAATTTACGTGCATAATAATAAATGCACGAATAACCTACATTAAACACTTCGTAAACACATATTGATATATCAATACGGATATTAGATAATGAACGGGTAAATGCAATAACAACGTAATTGGTTAAATAAAGCAACAAGTGGCAGTATAAAATCATTCGTTAAATCCCTAATTTTACGAATTTTTTTTCATGTTATTATTATTATTCAATACGTATTTTTACCAAAAGCAGAAATTAATAAATTATACCTGAAGATGTTGTATTATAATTTTTTACAAATTCGTGATTCAAACAGCAACATTTCCGCGTGGTATTTCTAAAATAATCGACCAGGCGGCGGCACACTTGCATCGCACCTTTATACCTTCACATGTCGTACAGTTTTTGCCCAACAATGAGATAAGCCACTTTGCCAGCCACTCGAGACGCTTCTTCACGCCTTATTGTATAGTAAAAGATTCGAGTACCACGCCCTTCCTTAAAACCATCGACCTGCATCACCGGCTCGATAAACAAACGACCTCCGATGAGGAAAGACATTTTCAATCTCCTTCCGCGAACGCTTAACGAATGTTGCATAATTCCTCGATTTATTTCAACGACGAATACTTGGGCTGTGACACGCAATTAATGTGTACTTTGGAGACGGATACGCCAAGTTTCCAACGGAATTTCTGCCGTGTGTTAAACTCAAACTGTATATACGTGAAATTCTGTTTCGTAACGTTGTTGGAACAAAGTAAAGGAAGATTAGGATGATTTATGGAAGGATGTTACATTTGTGAATGAAAAATTATCGAGAAAGTTTCGTATTTCAATGGGGAGAAATTTGGTAAGTGAATGGAACACTGTGGGAGAATAGTGTGAAGGATTTTGCACCGAGGAACTGTGGAACGTTAAAAAATCTTGATGTTTATATAATTGTTAAGGTTAGAACTTTTGAAATTTCAAAATTCTCAAATTTAGAAGTTCTCAAATCTCAAAATTCTCAACTTTCAATATTCTTAAATTGCAAAATTCTCAAATCACAAAATTCTCAACTTTCAAAGTCCTCCACTTTTAAAATTCTCAAATCTCAATATTCTCAACTTTCAATATTCTTAAATTTCAAAATTCTCAAATCTCAAAGTCCTCAACTTTTCAAATTTTCAACTTTCACAATTCTCAACTTAAAAAATCTCAAATTCCTTTATAAACACAAGACTTGGAGCAATCTAAAAAATGACAAATTAAACGAATTAGTTAATTGGACGTTCGTGCGCGACCTCGCGTTTAATTACGATAACAGCATCTATTACGGCATTGGTCAGCCGCTGAGCGAACTTTTCGGATGAAGAGGAGCCACGATTTACAACATTGGGCGAGGCTTCGGAACGTGAACAAGTTAAGGGGGTCAACGAAGTCCGGCCAATCATTGTTATCGACCGACAGAACCATTGTTATATAGTCGTCATCCTTCGGAACAGACGACCCCGAATGATGCTTTGTGCCCCATTTCGTGCACCTCAGTCCAGAAAATCGTCTTTCGTTGTTCGTGAAATTCCGAAGACCGACAGAAATAGCTGCTTCTCCTCGAAAAAGTAACAATGCTTCCCGATAAACTACCAACAATTTAGAAACTAAAGATGAATTGTTTATATCATATGTATACTTAGAATATAATTTGCTAACGCTTTCACTCTCGTGTCATCTTTATTTAAGTGACATTTCATTTTTCGAAGAAAATTTACTATAGTTCCTCTTAATTTCAACTGACAACATTTTTTATTAATTAAAATTTAGCGAAGGATGTGAACGAAATGTTTCAGAAATATGGTAAATTCTGTGTTTGTGATAAAGATAGGAGACCAAAATTCAGCGTTGATCGTAAAGATAGAAGACTTAGCATTATCGAATAGATAAATTTTGGTTGGAGGGAAATTTACGAGGAACCGTGAAAAGGGGTCAGATAATCGAGTCGTGGCATAAACGTTTTAGAAAGACGTTGACGTCGCTGAAAGGAACTGGTGGGTCTCGAAGATCTTCAATATTCAATGCATCTTCATCCCTCGGGATAACTTGGAGCATTGAAAGCATGCTCCGTGAAACGTCCTATTTGCCGGCAAATATGTTTAAACATACATTCACGGTCCCAGTTTTATGCTAAATTCATCGTATGTTGCGTTTTTATAGCCAATAATAATTCTGAACGACAGGCGAGGATATAAGCGATAAAAGCTTGGGGCATTTTTTGAGCAAGAAAAATGTTTTCAAGCTAACCTTTTGTTTCTTACTTATTATTAATTATTTACACTAAAATAAACGTATCAATTTCAAATTTATATTTTTCTGAATTAATTTGTAAGTATTGTTTGTCCAATTTTCGTCAAAATTGAGAATCTTCAAAAATGAAATCTAGAATTTGGCAAAACACATCTCCGTGCTGTTTAATTTAGAAAAAGACGCGAGGTGTATTTAAATTGTATTTTTCATAGCTGAGCGAAATTTGAAATTGATGCACTCTGAAATTAGGAAAACTGCAAAAATATTATATTTCTCGCACTCCTCCGAAAATTCGACAATTCTGCAATTCGACCGCAGAAATAATCTGAAATTCTTAGAAATTTCTCGTTTAGAATTCAGCTATTCACCTAAAAATTCAAACAACAGCAAACTTTCTGCGGACGCCAAGAGCACGTAAAAAGGAAACGAGAAATTGTAGAAAAATGTCAATAGCTCCTTAACAGCCCATTAAACTACGCGTAATTTCATTTCCCCCCGGTCGAAAGCTGGAATTTCTGCCGCATAACCATGACGATTCTTCGTTCGCAGTCTGCCAGATGACCGCTCACGAGTGATATCTCGCACACTCGATCAACTTCCACGGTAATTTCAAGTAAGTAGAGAATGCAGAAACTTGGAGGCCTGCAGAAGTTAGGAGTGGCCGCGCGAGGCCACAGTTGCACCTCTGTTATGCAAATGAACGTGGAACGAGGAAGTTTCTAATGCACGCGTAAAAAGGGACACTCTTTAACGATTCAGAATTGACGACGACGACGGATTCCTGACGTTTCCTTGGCTACGCTCGTAAATACCTTCTCCTAATTTAGTATCTTACTTTTCATATAAAAAATACGAATAATATAAGTATAAATTTGGAAAATTGTGTGTAATTGTTCGATTTCAAAGAGATTCCAAATACATTTCGTTCTTTGGCTATGGTGACAAATATCTTCTCTTAATTTAATACCCTATTTTTTACATAAGAGCAAATATAAGTTAATGATATAGATATTAATTTTGAAAATTGTGTGCAATTGTTCTATTCTCCGAAGAACAGAATTTCAATGAGAAATTCTTCATTTCGTACATTTCAAATGATTCTCGTTCGTTAAGTAAATAAGAAATTAATTACGAACGAAATATGCGTGCAGAAGAATGGAAATTGTGAAATATCAAGTTTTACAACCTAATTGCACAACAAGATGATTGAAATTTGCGTAGGCATTTCCGAATTGATTGCATTTCGTTCTAAAAAAGAAAATACTTCCATTCGATAGTTTAACTCCCATAGTTGAAGTGCAAAAATAAAGCCGTTAATTACACAACGAATCGTTGTTTTCGTTTCGTAATATTCGTTTAACAGTATTGTCTTTACACACGTTGCACTACGCTTGATTAAATGAACGTCAAATACGAACTTCGCTTTTTTCGTTACCAGTGTCAACGTAATCAATTACTAACTCTTTCGGTAACTGAGGAAGGAAACACGCGTGTCGAGGAAAAACTTCCATTACATTGGAATTAGAATTCCACTAAGCTGCAATGGCGTGTAAAAATTTACCACGTAGGTTTGCACTTTCTGTTTTGCTAGAAAATGAAAACTGAAGAATTTGAATGGAAAATAAATTATGAATGCGTATTAGCACAGAATGTAAATGGTAACACAGAATTTTTCCCATTTTCTTTTTCTTCCGTTAGGAACTTTGAATAAGTGCCGTTCCGACCATTTTCAAGATTCACATTTTGCACGTAAAGATCACACTTGGATTTTCCTTTCAGACACAGTCTTTGCAATCAAAATTCGTCTCCTTTTGTGTCTTCAAAAATGACCGAATTTACAATAAAAATCGTGAAATTTCAAATTAACAAGTCATCATTTTCCGAGAGAAAATTGCCAATAATCTTTACTCCCAAATTCCAAAAGACGAGAAGTTCCCAAATTTTCTCGAAATAACAAAATAAAATATTTCCACAATAGACTGCAAAAATCTAAAAAAAAAAATACTCGCTCAAAATTCTTTTTTTTTAACAAAACTCCAAGTTTCCAGGGGGAAAGTGAACAATCTTAGATTTCCCTGAATTCACAATAAAACGATTCCATCGTCGATTTCATAAATGTTACGAAATAGCGATTCTTAATCGTTATCAGATGTTATTTTCACCGCGGGTCGAGCGTAATCGAGGAAGGCGTGGCAAGATTCATTGAGTTACGAGTAAATTCCCGGGGGACGATCAGTTTTCATCCGAAATGACGAAACTGTTAAATAAACCGTGAAAGTGCATATCACCGTCCGTAAAATTGCAAAAAGGGAGGGTGTCTCCGCGGAAGCAGAAATTCCACTTGTCAAATTTAATAGCAGGCGAAATTGTAGAAGGTGATAGGAGAATAGATACTTTTCAAATTTTCCGTGAAAATACCTGGTGAAATACGTTCGCGCACATTTGCTA